CTGTGTGCTAGTCTCGATGAATAGCAGCAGCCTTGGACTAGTTCCATGCTTGGAACAAATTGACTTTTCAGTGTGGGGGATAGTGAGGTGTCTACCAGCTTGGCCCATTCTAGCAGCTGCAACCAAAAAGGCCTTCTCCGGGAGCTGAGTTCAGTCTGTGGGGAACGCTTCCTTACGAGGGCCTCCTTGTTGGCTCTTGTTCCTGTGCGGGTTTCCTGTCCCGTAAAAGGCATGTCAGGAAGCTGTCTAGAAAGTTCAGGTTCAGGTCTCACTGGTAGGATGCCGGGCTGTCTGATGGAGAGCGCTGTGGAAGCTGAGCAGAGAGAAGGCATGCGTGGAAAGAATCTCAGCTCCTCAGAACAGGGTGGGGCCCAGAAGGCCCGGGATGTTCTCTGAACGTCTTCCTCAGGTTGGAGCCTTTGCCTCCCAGAAGCACGTGGGTTCGGAGGGCAGATACCTGACAGACTTAAGGCTCCGGGTTATGGAGGAAATGGCTAGGTAGACCTAGCACACGGGACAAACGTGAAGTCAACTTTCGTACTACTGCTGTGACGTAGGGATCCTAAGCCCCCAGATTAACGTAAATATGTGACGCACTGGAAAAACTCATAGCACACACACACACACACACACACACACACACACCCATACCAAAGATTGTTTTAAATCTCTAGATAACCCTGGGCACATAGTCAACAACTGATTTCAGAAGAAAAGCTTGTACCTTACCTTAAAACACACGGGGAGAAAAAGTAGAAAGAGGTGATGGAGTGCCCCCCCTCCCTTCCCCACCCTCCAGAGAAAACCTGGATGTGCTAGGACGGTCTGAAAGGAGTTAAACCTGTGCAGATAGAATCATGAGGTGGATTTGGGGAAGAACCAGAGGAAGTCAAGACAGAAGCTGTCGCTATCATGAAGTGGCTCACTGAATGGGCGGAGTAGTAAACTTCTAAAGAAACAGTCAGAGGAGTGAAGGGCTCCTCACGCAGGAGCAAGCGCAGGCCATGTGTGGAAGGTACAATGGTAAGGAAATGTTATAAAAATCTCAGGGCTCATCCTGTAAGGGCCCTTGCCGCCACGCCTGATGAACTTAGTCGGATCCCTGGAGCCCACATGGCGGAAGGAAGGAACAGACTCTGCCAAGTGTTCTCTGACCCCCATGTGCATGCTGTGGCATGCTCATACACATAGATTGGATGGATGGATGGATGGATGGATGGATGGATGGATGGATGGATGGATGGATGGAAGACTCTGCCAAGTGTTCTCTGACCTCCATGTGCATGCTGTGGCATGCTCATACACAGATAGATAGATAGATAGATAGATAGATAGATAGATAGATAGATAGATAGATGATAGATAGATAGATAGATAGATGATAGATAGATAGATAGATAGATAGATAGATAGATAGATAGATAGATAGATGTAAGTAAGTAAAAAAAAAATAAGCATTCATAAATAAAAGTACTTATGCAGAGGACTGGAGTTGGGTTCCCAGAACCATTATCAGATGACTTATGAACACATGGGACTCCAGCTCCAGGGGATTCCATACCCTTTTCTGATGCACATGCATGCACACACGTGCGTGCTCACACACATACACACACACCATAACACTTGAGTGACAATGACAGTCTCCAGTACTGCCCTTTGAAATGTTATTACTCTAAGTTAAATCAGAAATTTCATCGTCTCAAGGTGATGTAAGCTGTCGCTAAAGGAATCATCTTAATGTACTTCTATAGGTGGAAACAAAGTCCAGAGTGAAAAATGGACTGAGAGAAGCGAAGAAGTTTTTGAGGGTGTTGGTTCCCTTACATGCCCAAATAATAAATGATAATGGTGACTAGTAGAGGCTTGAAACCAAGGCAAGCTAGAATATTACACCATTATATGGGTGATTAAGGAGGGTGTTCTAATGTTATTTTAGTTTTTAGGAATAAGGCAGAAATGGTGAACTGTATATATTAAAAATTGAGTAGGATTCCAAATGAACAGAAATGATATCTCCAAAGCACCTGTGTGGGGGTGTGAATGTTCAAAAGCTGTTAACATGGTAGAACATAAGAAGAGGAAAGTGGAAAACACAAAATAAGACTTCATATATGTATGGATGTCTATGTTTGTGTTGTAGTGAAAGCAAAAGGTCAGATACACCAATTTTACAATAAATGCAAGGTTTTTTTTGTTTGGTTTTTTGGTTTTTCAAGACAGGGTTTCTCTGTGTAGCTTTGGAGCCTGTCCTGGAACTCACTCTGTAGACCAGGCTGGCCTCGAACTCACAGAGATCCACCTGCCTCCGCCTCCCGAGTGCTGGGATTAAAGGCGTGTGCCACCACCGCCCAACTATAAATGTAACTCCTAATGACTCTAAAGTTGGGTTTTCTCTTAATTAGCCATGCACCATTGAAGAAATAATACACTCAGGTTATAATACAATGAGATTTAGAAGTCCTATTCTGCTCTGTGAGCTTTATAATCCAATATCACACACACACAGAGTTTTTGACTGTCCTAGAACTCCTCTGTGGACCAGGCTGGCCTTGAACTCACAGAGATCCAGCTGCCTCTGCCTCCCGAGTGCTGGGATTAAAGGTGTGCGCCACCACTGTATCTCCAAAGTTAAGGCCCAGAGATGATCAGTCACCAAGATGATAAGCATCACCTTAATGTTGCTGGTGGCAATGTTATTGCTGACCTCATGGTTATGTCTTACATGTACAGTACAGTATACAACTAAGAATGACCTCATATGCCGGGCGGTGGTGGCGCACGCCTTTAATCCCAGCACCCGGGAGGCAGAGCCAGGCGGATCTCTGTGAGTTCGAGGCCAGCCTGGGCTACAGAGTGAGTTCCAGGAGAGGCGCAAAGCTACACAGAGAAACCCTGTCTGGAAAAACAAAAACAAAAACAAAAAAATGACCTAGAGACTGTCCTGAATCTGTAGAATGTGGGACTGGGGTATTCATGTAGTTCTTCAGCCTAAAGCCTCCTTGGCTGTCGTTCTCTATTTTTTTTTTAATATTTATTTATTTTATTTGTATGTGTATGGGCGTTTTGCCTGTGTAAATGTTTGTGTACCACATGCCTGCCTGGTGCCCATGGAGGGCATCAGACCCACTGGAACTGGAGTTCTAAACGGTTTGAGCCACCGTGTGCATACTGGGAACTGAACTGCCACAGTCTCTCTTAAGAGCAGTAGGTGCTCTTAACTGCTCCCTAAGGCCGTCTCTGTAACCCTCTCTTTATTTCTGGACCACAAGAAGAGACTCCTTAGTTAGGACGAACTGGTTGCGTCTTCCCTCAAGTATAACAGACTTCTGTATCAATCTAATAATCCTCTCAGGATAGTGAGAAAAAGGTGTCTCTCCTACCTACCCGCTATCCACCCAACACGGAGGTGACGCTCATTTTGCATTAAATACAATACGGTGTGTAACACACTACGCTGGCCACCTGGGCTGTATGAATAGACTTAATTCTTCAAGGCTGTACAACTTGGAATGTTCCCAGCCCCGATCATTTGCTGAAACCCTTGTTCTTAAAAGCAACTCTGTTTTAACCAGAGTGCTATACATTCTTGGGAGGTTTAGGGAACACACGGTCATCTGTGCTGAGATCCCAAAGGTAATGCTGAAGTACTCCAAGCAGGGAAAGGTCGTGAGCGCCTTGTAAAAAGCCCCATTGTCCGGCTTCCAAGAGGCTATACGTAGGGTGACATTTATTTTCCTGGTGACTTATCAGAACCTGCCTCGTAGCTGTTTAGGTTCCAAACGTGATTTAATTGTGGTACAAGTAACAGACTCATTATCAGAGCTGGGTTCACCTTCCCCAAGCTGACAAAACTGATCTTTAAACCAAAATGCCAGTTTGCCATGTATATAGAGAAACACTGATACTTTGAAAGCACAAAAAGTAGCGATATTCTTCCCTGGTAGGCAAGCCTCTACAGGGAGGCAGATCGTAATCAGCAGGTTATTTGGTGAACCCGAAATCAGAAAGAGAGAAAGGATGAATCACTTGTTTCCTGGCATAGGCTTAGAAAATAATCCATGGCACACGAAGTCCAGCCCTGCCAGACTTCTTTGAAGTCTCAACTGAGGCACTCCTCACTGATCAGTACTGAGTAGGGAGCTGCCAGGGCTGTGTAGTTCATTCTCACGCCTCACGGTTAACAGAAGCCGGTGCCCGCAAAGAACCCCGCATGTTAGTTCTGCTCTCTTCTCTCCATGTTCGCCTCTTTGCTAGCTTAGCGTCGTCTGTTTTAATTTCCTGTTGAAATCTCAGCGAACAACCATCTTTTCAAATTCTAGAGTGATCCCTCACGGCCCTTAAGTGAACTATAGGAAAGCATCACACAGATAAACGCATAGAGAAAGTCACCCGCACGGAGGCTTTCCCAGTCACCCCTGCCCAGCACCCTTCACCTTCTTGTTATTTTCCTATACCACATGTAGTACTTTTAACATTTTTCTTTCAATTTTTGAACCTATTTTTCAAAAAGGTTTACCGCAGCCATGAATGGAAAACAAACTACTACCTTTTGATACAAAAGGAAGATAGCCTTGGTTTGGTTTTTTTGTTTGTTTTTATTTTTTTCTCTCATGTACTTATTTAGCCAAATACTCTTTGTCATGGACAGCTGGGCGGGTGTGGATCTTTGTTAAGATCTAATAACACCAAATTAGGATTCTCCTGGGTCCGTTGTAACAAATAACCTCTAGAGTGGCTGAGCAGTGGGAAAATGTAGATCATTTAACGCAGAACCTTGTTCATCCAAAAAAAACCCCCCACACATCAGGCCTCACACATCTGGGGAGAAGATGGCTCTCGCTAGCTTTTTGTTATTGTTGTTACTAATTTTAAAGATAGTTGGAAAATGTATGGCCATAGTGATGCCTCCTGCCCAGTCTCCCTGGGCCTTGCGTCTGCCCATGCTGTTCTGACTATCTTATTCCTGTGTCTTCCCCCCCCCCCCCAATCCTGCACAGGTACACGCTGGCAGCTCAGGACTTGGTGATGCGTGCCCGGGGCGTCCTGAAGGACCGAGGATGGCGGATATCAGATGACCGGCTGGGCTCAGGAGACGACATTTCTGTCTACGTCATTCCTTTAATACATGGGAACAAACTGTCGTGAGAGTGACCCAGGGGACTGGGAGGACAGAAAGAGAGGAAGAAAGCTGAGTTGCCTCTGAGCAGGGCGGAACTGGGGAGTGCCTGGGCTGGATTCCAGGTGATGCAATTTCTTCCCAGCCCAGATGGGGGAATTTGCCGCCAAAAGGCCTCTCTGGCTTTGCTTCAAGAGGACTCTTGAGTTTCCATTTCTTCTTTAGTACCAGGTCTGGACACTGAATAAGAGCAAGACGCAGCCTGCCACTGGGTGTTACGTTTCTCTCGGTCTCTGTTGTAGGGCTCCTAGGTGGCTGTTTGCCTATGTGGGGCACAGGCATACACATTTATTTATTTTATCTAGAATAGCAGGGACAGCCATTTCAGGTGTAACCGGCCGAGGACTCCTCAGCCTGTCAAGCTGCCGGCTTCTCTCCAGGCCAAGAGCCACATTGAAAAGTGAGGGACCGTGCCTCAGAAAGTGTGAGCACCCATCTTGTCCAAAGCTCCGGCTGTTTCAGGGATTCTGCCTTGCTCTGTCTCATCCCTTCCCCCACTTCCTGTCTCCCTCTAGATTCTTTTGTGGTAATGGGGTGAGGCAGGGATTTTTTTCCTTTTTGACATTCTTTGAATCTTTCTCATTTCTCTTCACTGGGACTTTCCAATTTGTTGCTGGACAGTTTCCATATCAGAGACCAGCCCGATCTGGCTTGTCCCACGTTCTGTGTCACACACACACACACACACACACACACACACACACACACACACATACACATATACGTGTAGTGGTCCGGAGCAATGCCCCGTGTGGGAGTTTGTCTTTGTTATATGACATTTTTACCCCTGAGTTCTGTTTTCCTCACCAAGTCAGAGTGTGCTTCAAAATGTGGATGTGTCCTCGGACCCACAGTCCCCCTGTCATCTACCAGTCTCGAGAGATTTTGCTGTGAGAGGTTGGTTTTTCATTTCTGGCCTGGGGGGGTACTCTCCCACCTCTTGTGTCCTGGAGACGCATAGGAGAAGCAGCATCTAATACAGTAGCTGAGGAAGTCCTTCTGTCCGTCAGTCAGCCATACTTCGTTAGGGCAGAGTGTGGGATTCAGGCTTCCTAGGTTGCTGACTCTTCTCCACTCCACGGGAAGTGTGAGTGTCACAGGTCTGCTAGGCTGTCGCTCCTCTCTTCCTGCCATCTTCGTTCAAGGGTAGATGGACTGACAGCTGAGTATAAAAGTGAATTTGAACTGGGGCTGGTCATTCCCCTGCTGCCCACCCTCTTCCTCAAGGGAATCACGATGTAGAATCCAAGAGCTGAGGTCCCGTTTCCCCACTGTGCATCTGCCTCCCCTGCTGGACATGCCTCACAGGCATAGCAGAAGCACACATGTGGATGTCCTGTCTGCCTCCTGCCTCCTTGCTGGGAGGAACAGCAAAGTCCAGCTTAAGAATCACCTGCCTCTTGAGCAGACCGCTGCTCTGCCCAGGGGCCCTCAGATCAACATCTGATTGCTTAGTCCTGTTCCTCTAGTCTTCCAAGTATCATCAACTTGGCGTGATTCAGACACTCTTCCAACCCAGCAAAGAAAAAGAGAAAAAAACAAACAAACAAAAAAAAACAATGGTGTAATTTCCCTGAAATGCTCAAGAAGCGACTCCAGATCTTGTGTTTAAGAGAATTCTTTCTTCCCAGAGGAGAGCAGAGGAGCATATCCCCCAGGCTGATAAGTTATCCGCATTCCTAGGATTGTAGATAATTTCTTAGGAAAGGTCTGGTGCCTTCCTCCTCAGGAACAAAGTCACCCCACTGTGTAGAACCAGTACCCAGTCCGGCAGGGGACATACTGTGTGTGTGTGTGTGTGTGTGTGTGTGTGTATGTGCCAACTTGTTGCCTGAGAACCGGGTTGCTGCCATGTCGGGAGCATCTTCATCTGACTGTGCGCCCTCCTCCTTCAGGAAGTCTTTACCACCCCAGACCTCGCCGTCGGGAGTGGTTTGTGGCAACCGTTTGCTTCTCGGGAAGAAGGTGATGCTGTGGGAGACCGCTCAGGCATGTCCCAGCAGCGTGGTCCTCTTCCCGCATCTGCTCAGTTCTCGAAGTCATGTGCAAACGGGGAGACGAGCAAGTCTCGAAGTCCGTGGAGGACCTGAGCCACTGTCCATGGGAGCATTGCCACGTTCTCAATGCCTTTCATAGTTTTGCTTCTCTGAAACTCCTCCCTGGGTCTCACCTTGACCTTCTCCAGTCATATTCAGGGCCACCAGAGTCAGAATTGGAGTGTAAATATCTTAGAAGGTGTTGTGACAACATTCTCCCAGTTCGTTTACTGCCAAGGCACATCTCAGGACAACAGAGCAGAACAAAGCCTGGAAAACCCGAGTTCAAATTATCCTAAAACCCAGGGTCCTGCTGGTTTTAGTTGGAAACGTATCCAGGAATTCTCTTCAGGAGACCCTGTGGGTGGAAGGGTTTTAGTCACAGGTCAAAGCCCTGTTTGTGCTGTGGGATTGTGAAGACGAAAAATGAGGGGCATAGATCAAAAGTGAGCAGAGGGATTTGTTCACGCCCATGGCAGACCTCCCCAGCACTGATATTGCTCTGTGCATTGGGCTTGCTCACTGTTCACCCAGGCTCCAAGTCACCCTGTCCCAGAACAGTAACGTCTGTGTCACAGGTTGGTCCTTGGAGCATTTCTGGAAAGGTCAAAAGACAGCACACTCAGAAGTCTGCAAAATGTCTTTCTGTGTGTTTAGGAACTATGTCTGACTGACTTACAGCCGGACCTGCTCGCCTCCTAAGAGGAAGGCTTGTGTAATGAAAAGCATTTGATTTCCCAGTCAAGGCTTTATGGGTGTCTTGGGGGTTGTGTGGCTACTTCCTTTAATGAAAGGCTCTTTCAACCCTAAATCTCTTGGCCCAGCCCGGCCCCTGCTCTCTGGCCGGTGGTATACCTCCCTAAAGAGTGTGAACTCGGAAGCCTTTTACTAGGCGGTAACTAAAGCTTTGTCTTTCTTAACACCAAATGTCAGCAGCCAAAGACTCGGAAGGGGCCTGCTGGGGTTGTGTACTCAAGGATTGTCCCTGTGGCAGAAAGAGAGCGGTGGCAATTGAGCTGGGCCAAATAATGCAGCTGTCTAACCAGAACAAGCCCGAGGAGAAGCCGGTGTTGCAGTTATTTCCACAGCATTCAATGTTGGAGGATTTGGAGTGTCGGATTTTCTAAATTCCTAACGTCTTACCTCCATGGGGCTACGTGGAGCCAGCTGCGTCTTCCCGCCATGCTTCTCTGAAAGTCCCGTTCTTGAGGGGAATGGTACCCATAGATGGATATGGATGGGCAAGCGTGGGAGCCCCTGGAGCCAAGTGTCCTCCAGGCCTTAGCCGTTTGGATGGGGAGTTCAGTATCCCAAGGCCGCTAGTTTAGAATCCCTTTGGGAAGGTGTCTTTTTAAAATGCGGACCCTTCTTTCGCTTCCCCCCCCCCCCCCCCGCCTCCTTCCTCATCAGCCACTCTGCTGTATTTGCAAAGGAACAAGGGGGGTGGGTGTTGCTGTTGGATGTACTAGTGTGAAGGTGTCACCCCCTTCCTTAGGTGAGCCAGGATCTCTGACGTGTTCAGAGTGTCTACGTTGTACAGTGATGAGATTCTAATTTCAGTGAGTTGTTACTCCTGGGCCAGCTGGAGAAAGCAATGAAATTGTCTATGCAAAGGAACAAACTGCCTGACCCTCAGGCCTACCGGATGGAAGGGAAGAGCAGAGCGGCCTTCGGCCCCAGGACAGAATTTTGTGTTCGGAGCTCAGAATTGTGAGGGCCTGTAGACCATAGCCCACCTCGCTGAGCAAACTTTGGGTGCTGTGTGGCAAGGTGGCATCTGTGTGTACACTGGAACTTTCAGGGGACACTGTGTGAGCAGCCCGGCTGGCTTGCCTCTTCTGTGAGCCCCCTGGCCCTTCTGTCAGATGTGAACACCACTGGGGGAATACTGCTCTTTCTAATTCATGACGTTATCTGTGTAAATAGCTTTAATTTTTCCTTTCTGTGTCCTAGGTGAAGTTGTGTTCATGTAGTTAACCAAGTAGGCCGTGACCAAATAAGGCTGTATCTGTACTGTTGTGTTTCAGCTGGGATGTGAGGAAGATGGAGAAGCCCATGTCCTCCGCCCCTCCTCTCATTCGATGGGTATTTCGTGTGTGTTTAGGGGGGTCCCACGGTTGCTCCTTCATTCCTGTTTTGCCTCTAATTTTCTTTGTCTCGTTGGAAACCCAGGGAGGCCCCTAGTACGGATCGTTTGTAAGAATATGTATGTCATGGTCGTCTGGGTTTCCAAAACTATTCCACATACAGTGACTTGAGAGGAATCTGCCTGGAAATGGTCTCAGAATCCTGTACCTTTCTGCTTTGTGATTGTGAAACACTGACTTTTGTGAACCCCCAAACGAGAACTGTTTCAAGGGGATCTATTTTGTGTGTTGTGAACCTTAGGTGCCATGTCCCCTGGAAAAAGCCCAAGAACTGTATGTGCTCAATGACATTTTAAATAAAATGCTATATATGTATATATAAATATGTATATAGGACATCTTTAGCAAAGTGTTCTTTGTCTCCTGTCTTTGAAGTAGTTGTGCAGTTTCTTCTTGTCAGGGGATGGAGTGGTGGGAAAGTGTACCGGGTTAATGTGAGGTGGTTCCCTGTGAGCTCAGACTCAAAATCTAGAGGGAAGAGTCACCATGTGTGATATATCTATCATGTATGTATGTGTAATCACACAAAGGATTTTAGAGGGAAAAATTATCCCCAAGAGTAATTTTTTTCCAATTTAATATTCCATACAATATATTTTAGTCATTTCCACAGCACCCCTTCCCCAGCTCCCCCCAGATCCACCGCTATCCCCTACCCACACACATACCTTTATGTCTTTTTTCTTTTCTTTTCTTTCAAATTTACGTTTTATTTTTTTAAGATTTATTTATTATGCATACAGTGTCCTGCCTGCATGTACACCTGCAGGCCAGAAGAGGGCACCAGATCTCATTACAGATGGTTGTGAGCCACCAGGTGGTTGTGGGAATTGAACTCAGGACCTCTGGAAAAGCAGCCCGTGCTCTTAACCTCTGAGCCATCTCTCCAGCCCTTCTTTTCTCTTTTGTTTATAAGTCAGTCAGTTTGTGCTGCCCATCTAGTCCTGGATGTAGGATGGTCCACTGGAGCATGGTTGACCTGTCTTTCAATGGCCATACCCTTAAGACCGACTCTTCCCTCCCTCCGAAGCTGTCAGCTATCCATGTAACTCCTTAGTGCAGGGTCAGATGCTTGTGAACCCCTAGCTCCTCCATGCTAGATGTTGACACCTTGCTCAACCTTGCTCGTGTTCAAGCAGCCACGGCCATTTTGAGTACAGGCTTCTGGTCATGTGCAGAGGAAACTGTTTGGATCTAATCCCCCCTGAACCCTGGTTCTTCCAGTCTTTCTGCTCCCTATGTTGGTCCCTTGGGAAGAGGTTGGGATACAGATGTCTCATTTGTGGCTGAGAGCCTGAGAAGTTTTTTTGGGTTTTTTTTTTTTTTTTTTTTGGTTTTTCGAGACAGGGTTTCTCTGTGCAGTTTTGGTACCTGTCCTGGATCTCGCTCTGTAGACCAGGCTGGCCTCGAACTCACAGAGATCCGCCTGGCCCTGCCTCCCAAGTGCTGGGATGAAAGGCATGTGTCACCACTGCCCGGCCTGAGAGGTATTCTTAACTGAAGACAGTAAGAGTTAAGACACCCCCCGCTTTTAGTCATCAAAGCATTCTAGGTGTTCACAAAAGCTTACACACAGGCACATGGTACATTCCTGTAATTCCAGCCCTCAGGAGGGAACCAATCAAGAGTTAAAGGCCATCCTCAGCTACATGGCAAGTTTAAGACTAGCCTGGGCTACATAAAAGAAAAATAAGTTGTAAGCTGTACCATCTTTAAAGTAACTTTGACAAGTGGAGTAAAACATCAAAGAATGCCCGGCGGTGGTGGCACACGCCCTTAATCCCAGCACTCAGGAGGCAGAATCAGGGGATCTCTGTGAGTTCGAGGCCAGCCTGGTCTACAGAGCGAGATCCAGGACAGGCACCAAAACTACACAGAGAAACCCTGTCTCTGTTTCCTTTTAGAAGCCAAGAAGTTAAAAGCAATCTAACAAATATTAGCAAGACATTAATCTGTTGAGGATTCTTAACCAAGATCCGGTCAGATGCTGAAAAAAAAAAAACACGTACTTCTGAACTCTATGTAAAATACATTCTTTCCTTATGCATATGGACGTATTTGTGAAAGAGTTTAGTTTATAAACTAAATCTGATGGATGTGGTGGTTCCTGCCCAACCCTGGTACTTAGGAGTCTGAGACAGGAAAATCACAAGTTCTCGGCCAGTCTGAACTATTTAGCAAGACCCTGTCTCTAAAAGGGGGGAGGGGAGGGGCAGCTAGGGAGATGAGTCTGTGTGGTAAAAATGTTTGCCACGCACGCATGAGGACCTGAATTCAAATTCTCAGAATCCGTACAAAACATACCCAGTAGCATGAGCATCTGTAATCACAGCACTCAGAGATGAGAGTCCAAGGTGTGGGGATCCCCAGAAGCTTGTGGGCCATACACAGGAGAAAAACAATGAAGAGACCCTGTCCCAAAGCAGAACGTGATGATTGACACCAGAGGTCACCCTCTGATCCTACATTGTGACGTGTGTGTATGCCTGTATTCACATACATGAATACACATCACAAGGACACATATACCCCAGAAAGACAGCAAAATAAAACGATTATTTTTAAACCAGTAAAAGTTACAAATTGCCTAGTCCTGAAATTTTACACTTAATACTTTCAGGCCATAGTTGGTAACTGTAACTATTGAAGGCGGAGCCGTGGATAAAGAGAAACTATTGTATTGATTCACAAAAGAAAGTCTGTTTTAGGTTTTTGAGACGGACTAGTGGGCACAAGGGTGGCCTTGAACTTGCGGGGTAACAAAGAATGAGAACCCTGGCCCTTCTGCCGTGCTGAGGTCACCACTATGCCTGGCACGTGAGGGAAAACATGGGTTATATAGGTTTTCACTCAGGAAGAGCAGGATTGAAAACAGTCACGTAGATTCTTCTTGTAAGACAAGGTGTTAACTGTAATCCTTGGCTGACCTGGAACTTGCGATGTAGACCAGGCTGGCCTTGAACTCACAGAGATCTGCCCGACCCCTGCAGACTAAAGCCATGTGCCATCGCCCTTAGATTTGACCCTAGGTGGTGGTGGAGGGACAAGGAAGAGGAAAGAGAAAAAGAAAATGGCTTTGAGAAAATACCCTTTGACTCGGGAAGCAATCCTCCACACGGAGAAATCCTCCACAGTAATGGAGACTGCCTGAGCCCCGAGCTGGGGTATAGCAAGACCCCTTTGTGAGTGTGTGTTTACGTCCCACCTCCTGCCACTGGACTGACGGTTGGCAAGCCAAGGAAATGGTGAGCACTGGGGAGCACTGAGCCCAGGAGGAGGAGACAGAGGGCTCTTCCTAGTTATGACCGGATGTCTTATGATGTGTTACTTACAGCCACTGGACTTTGCACGTGGTCCCCTGGTCCCCTAGGTGCTTGATTTGCGATATTAAGACAATTTCTAAATCATGCATGTCTTTTTTAAGGTAATAGTTTTTCAAAAACTTCTCATCATTTAGACATCTACAGAATACTTAAAATGTGTTGTCATGTTCCTTCAATTAAGTGACAGGCAAGAGTGAGCTAAATATCCAAGGCGTTAGTTTGCCTTTTGGGTTTTTTTTTTTTCCCCTGTCATTGGCGTCTTGACGAGGTGGCTGCCTGCATTTTTAGTGTCTCCCGTTCACTTCCAATGAGATTCCCCAGCCAGGTGACCTCTTTTGCTTTATTGATTCCAATTATGCTACCCAAAAGAGATGCAGAGTGTCACCGAGCAAAAGATGGGGACAGGGTGTCCCTGATTGTCTTCCAGGGACTGGGTCTGATCAGTCGGCTGGACCAAGGAGTCCAGAGCCAAGGTTTGGGGAGGTTGAGGGCAGACCTGGACATCAGCACTTCCCCAAAAGGGACATGAAAACCAGCTTTTGCTTGGATCTTCAAGTGTCATGCTTGCAAATCTAGTCACTATGTAGTGATAAGAGGGTCCTCTGGAAGTTGTTGTTGGGTAGGGATGGGAGAGCAATTGACCTGAGTGTGGAGAAAAATAAAGCCACAGCCGTAAACACCCCAAACCTAGTCACCGTGTACCCTCTGCACACCCAAGAATGCTGTGTGCTTAGTGACCATGAATCCCTGATTTAAAGCAGAGAATTGTGGGAGCTGTCATTAATGATCTTAGCGATTTCCTCAGTCATCACTTCCCAGGGTTTGGTCAGCCAGAAAAAAAATAAGTAAGTGGGAGAAATTTGGGGAGAATTGTGAAATCTCCACTCATATTCCAGATTGGGGGGAAAAAGTTTCCTGTTCTTTTAAACCTTATACACAAGTCAGAGAGCATCTGGGCAACCTCCTTGTCATACAATGAAACAAAGGAAAATTGCTGGGTGGTGATGGTGCAAACCTTTAATCCCAACACTCAGGAGGCAGAGGCAGGTGGATCAACTGGAGTTCTCTGATCTACAGAATCAGTTCCAGGACAGCCAGGGCTATAGAGAGAAGCCCTGTCTTGATAAAAAACAAAATAAATAACAGTATGGTTGGCTCCGTGCTTACAAAAGAAATAAGTATTTTCATTGGTATTACATATTAAAATATAATGCAGATAGACTCAAATATTTATGGAAGAAACAAACTGTTCTCTGGGAATTGCTTCAGAACCTCTGAGAGGAGAGGGCTGCATGGGTTTACAGATAAAACAAGATTGGCCATGCTGAAGAAAGTTACGCAAACTGGAAATGAAATGATGACCACATGTTTTTATGTCCTTTCTGGAATACCATCTGCCAGGCCCACCCAAGGATTATTTAGTTATTAGGCTATGGGCTAGTAAACTTTTTCTGTAATGGGCCTATTAATATTTTAGGATTTGGAGAGGCCATGTGGGCTCGGCCACAAATACTCAGATCAGCTGTCATTACTCAAAGGCTGTCATGAAGTTCTGAACCAGGATATGTTGGAGGCAGGGGATGGGTTATAAAAACAAGCCTCAAACCCTGACAGAAAGAATTGACTTGTGAACATGTGGCCCGATGTCACCTGTGAGATAAATGAGGAAAGCCATTCCTGAACATTCATGACCTAATGCTGAGGCAAAGCCAGGTAGATCCATAATTGTTTATCTTGTTTTATTGAGTTACGAACAGGGCAACTTATAAATGTGCTAGTTTGTATATTCCTAAGACTGTCCCAGAGTTATGATTTTACAGTATTTCTTCAACACTAACACAACCTCATCCTTCCTATAAGATTTTTGGTTTCATGTATTTTGGGTTTTGGACTCTGTTAAGTGTGCGTATGTTTATAACGGTCATGTTTTCCTCATACACTGATCGCTATATCCCTATAAAATGTCCTTTGTTTCCAGTAACATGTTTTCCTCTAAAGGCTATTTCATCCTATAGACGGACAAGCCACT